GGCTCTCAATTAAAATCGATCTACAGCGGCATCCATTACTTCCGTGAACGGTGCGCTGCTGTGGGCCGTCAGCGCTCTTCTGCGCATGCGCATCAGTATGAAAGCCACGTTTTGTTGGATGCGATTCTATTTCTTTGATCTGACTCGGTTGTTTCGTGTTTTTTCTCCTCGGACAGACAGGAACTCGATTCTTTTTCTCACACGTTTTAATTTTAATGACAAACTGTACATGTTAAGTGACATTCCACTGAAGGACAACATGGCTGTCCAGTGTTGACGTGGCACACAGAAGTCCTAATGGGGCAGTTCGTGATGGACCAGCTTGTAGTGAGACCCACATTCAGGACACCGTTGGGGTTCTCCCTCATGGAGCCAGAACCACACGATAGCAGTGTTGTCTTCTTCGCCTGCAACAAGAAAACCAGAAAAATCACTCAAATTTAGCATAGTAATGCAACTTGGAGTAACTTTATAGAAGTTTCTTACAGAGGCAGCCAACCAGCCTCTTGTTTCCGATACTGGGAACGATGTGAGGGTCTGTTTTGGTGCCGGTGTACTGTTTGGGCTTCAGGATGCTGTAGGGATCCTGTGAAAATCAGAAAATAAGGTCAAGCAAAATACACCACTGTTTACCAAAACAGCTCAGAGTGGGAGCCTCAGAAAGTTGGAGGGAAGATGAGAAAAAAAGTAAAAATAAGAAAATTTAACTCCATAACTTTTTAAATCTTAAATTTATGTTGTTCAACAATTATTCAATAAAATATAAGTTAAAAAGTATTTAAATGTTATTTCTGATGCTATTTTTCTGATTGGCTGCCATTCAAATTCACCAAGCTGCTTTTCTCCATAGAAAGCAAAAAGAAAAAAAAAAGAAAAAGTTCTGATAAGAATAAAAAAACTAAAACAAAGGAGCTGACTCTGCTGCAAAAAAGATAACTATGGGAATAAAATACAATTTCATGTGCTCAATATAAATTACCTATTTTTTTAGAAACAAGAGAATTGTGATGAAAAAATTTATTATCTGGTAATAGTGATAATATGTGATAAAACTTTCCTCTGCAGAACTCATGAGTAATCAGAAGGTATAAGACAGCATTTATGTCTCATAAATGTTGAAAAAGTAATTAATAGTAATAATTAATAAATTATTATTAAAGTAATAATTAACGAATTATAACATTCTAAACGTTGTCGTTGTAGAAAAGGGCCCCAGTCCAGAGATAATGCTTTTTGGTGAGCCATGGCAACATTTTGGGAACTCCTGTACCAGAGAACATGGATCAGAAACTCACTTTTCCTTGTTTGAGGGCCTGCAGGGTGCGTCGCTCCAGTCCAGTCGCCTGCTCCTCATCAGTTGGGATTCCTGGGAAAAAACGGTGCGTCAATAAGCTGAAATAGAGCATGTGGTTAAATAGTTTGGTGGCAATAAAAGCGAACTTCGTCACTGGACACCTTCCCTCCAATCAGCAGGAAAACTGGCTGCAATCCAGGGAAAGCTGCCAAGGAGGTGGGTCTATCAAAGGCCGCAACACAAAGTCCAAATGACCTTCATTACTGTCCCAACTGTTGCCACATTCATTTAAACACAATGAAATACAACACAATGACAAGTGGTTTAGGGACTTCCACAGAGCACAGAAAATGCGCAGTTTATTTAAAAAAAAAAAAACTGAAAATGACGCAGTTTCTAGCAAGGAACATTCACCTAGATTGAGTCCGAGCCACCGCTAAGTTTTCCCCGCAGGGGAACGGAGAGACTCCCCGGCTATAAATACATTTTCTTACCCCCAACCGAGGCCATGGCTCGCTGCAGCGGCCTCGCCGCGGTGCCCCCCCTCAGCTGGAGGACTCTTAACGGGCAGGTGCGGAGAAGAAGGCGGGCCGCCATGCTGGTTCTGGTGCTGGTTCGGTTCCACTCAGGTAAAGACAATGACCTGGCTGTAACACGGCTGAGAGCAGGACTAAAATGACCCCTATACAGCCGACCAATGGGAGCGAAAGTTATGGCTGCGGCAGCCAATGGGATTTTAGGGAGGGCGGTCCAATGAACAACCGAGTTAAAAAGGTGCGAAAAATCAAATCTGACCACGAATAAACAAATATAGATAGAAAAAATTAGAATGACGTTGGAAAATGTAATACTATACACCATAAATTGAAATAATCCAAGCATTTATTGCACAGAAATGAACATTCAGAAGCCTAACATTTCTGTTTAAAATATCCCTTTTAAACATTGATCTTATGTCATATTCTAATTTTCTAAGACATTACATTTTGTGTTGTCATAATAATCAATATTACAAGAAATAAAGGCTTAAAGTATTACACTCAATGTAACATGACACTAAATGAGATTTACTTTCTGAAATGAGTGACAAAAAGTATTTTTCACAATAGTTAAATTATTTAAGGCACCACTTTAAAATTTTCACTCTTCTTTAGGCAAAACATGTTAACTTAACACAAATTTTAATATTTATCCAACCAAGTAACAATGGGATAATTGAAAAATTTTAATTAGGTATTTTGTTTCTTGTATTTTGTACAGATTAAGAATGTTTTACTGTCTTTTCATGACCTTTGAGAGAAGAAAAGTATATATATACTTAATCCCAGTTAAACTTTTACCCGCATAAACAGGACATAAATCCTGAAGGAGAATCAGGAAGGGAAAAGCAAAGCAGTGATAGTCGCTGTTTGTGTTGTTGTCCAGGTGGAGGCGCTGTGTTGTGAGCAAGCAGCAGTGATTTAGTTGTTGATTTGCAGTAAATGTGTTTCTTGGAGCCGCTCCGTTGATGAGGCAGAGTGTTGATCAGTCAGTCAGGAGGAGCAGACGCAGTAAAAAGACTGAGTCTCGCTGTATTACTCAGGCTGCGCTACAGCGTCTATTCACAGGCGCGATCCCACTACTGAGCGGCACGGGGGCTTTGACCTGCTCCGTTCCCGACCTGGGCCGGTGCACCCCTCCTTAGGCGACCTGGTGGTCCCGGGCTCCCCCAGGAGCACCATATCGATACCGAGCTTAGTGCGGACACCCGATCGGCATAGTCCACTGCAGCTCAGAGCTCCTGAGCTCAAACGATCCGCCAGCCTCAGCCTCCCGGTAGCTTGGATTACAGGCGCGCGCCACCGCACCCGGCGATGCTTTCCGCCGCTTTTACCGGATTTACTTTTGGTCCTGCTGATGACGTCATCACAAGAAATAATCTCCCTAATGTTATTTTATTAAACTGATATGAAATTCATCTTCATTCTGATTATTCAACATTTATATAGTGATTTATCTGATGACAACTTTATTTGCTCCTTTGATTCTTTACAGTACCAACCAACGTGGTTCCAGTGTTAAAGTTGTTTCTTTGGAAACAACATGGAGCCATTGTCCAGAGGATGTATTACCGTGCACCATTTCACATCATTTCATACATGCTGATGCATAGGAGAATAATTACTTATACTGTAATTTGCATTAGGAAAAGAAGCTTTGGGAAATTGGATCACTGAACAACAGCCCAGTTCTTCTCTGTTTGTTTCAGTTCAACTGTTATTCATTTTCTTACCACACTTTTTCCTTCAACACAGTTTTTTCAAAATATTTTATAACCTTGGTTTATTCATCATCTGTAAGTCATGATGATTAAATTACAAGACATAATAAGACGAGATAAGACAATTTATTAGTCTCCCATAAGAGAAATGTGTCTGGGAATATGGCTTAGAATATTTCAGTGATGAATCGGTATTTTCACTTTCTGTTATGTGAAACAAAAATACTGAACTTTTTCACTTTGGTTTACCATCAGCCTTCGCTCTGTGCACAGAGCTGAGATTATTTCTTGTGATGACGTCATCAGCAGGACCAAAAGTAAATCCGGTAAAAGCGGCGGAAAGCATCGCCGGGTGCGGTGGCGCGCGCCTGTAATCCAAGCTACCGGGAGGCTGAGGCTGGCGGATCGTTTGAGCTCAGGAGCTCTGAGCTGCAGTGGACTATGCCGATCGGGTGTCCGCACTAAGTTCGGTATCGATATGGTGCTCCTGGGGGAGCCCGGGACCACCAGGTCGCCTAAGGAGGGGTGCACCGGCCCAGGTCGGGAACGGAGCAGGTCAAAGCCCCCGTGCCGCTCAGTAGTGGGATCGCGCCTGTGAATAGACGCTGTAGCGCAGCCTGAGTAATACAGCGAGACTCAGTCTTTTTACTGCGTCTGCTCCTCCTGACTGACTGATCAACACTCTGCCTCATCAACGGAGCGGCTCCAAGAAACACATTTACTGCAAATCAACAACTAAATCACTGCTGCTTGCTCACAACACAGCGCCTCCACCTGGACAACAACACAAACAGCGACTATCACTGCTTTGCTTTTCCCTTCCTGATTCTCCTTCAGGATTTATGTCCTGTTTATGCGGGTAAAAGTTTAAAATACATTTGTCTTATCAAAGGATATTTGTAGAATAGAAGAATATCTAAAGAAACAAAATCAGAAATTGGGTCATCGGCCCAAGTCAACGGACATTTCAAGTTAACTGGTTGTTTAGAGTACCATCTCCAAGCTTATTCGTGAAAAGTTAAGTGGAAGGAAAAAATGTATTAGGGAGGCTTGGGGTAGACAACCCCAAGCCTCCAGAGAATTGTGAAGCAAAGTTCCTCCAAGACTTTAAGAGAGATTTACAAGGTGCGATATATAATTGATATATGCGAGTTTTGGAATTTTCATTACTGAAATAAATGAAATCCCTAATATGCTGATTGTTGGTTCTCCTTTTGAAGCAGAACTTGAGCTTTTCTCCCAGTCTCCAAATTAAAACTCATGTTATTCCTTCACCTGGATTCCTGAGTCTGTATCATAAAATCTATTTTTTTTTTAAAAACACATCTAATAAAAATATGAATGGTTCATTCAAACAAAAATGTACAAATGTTTAACATTTCTGCCTGATTATCTGAATTATCAAAATGATCAGAATTTAATCACACATAAAAGAGTAATCAAGAATTAGAGACAAATGTTTGATTTTATTCTAACACTGTTCATCATGAAGACAGATGTTCATGCAAGCTTTAAAACTAAACGTTACATCAGGGAGGGAAAAGAAACAACCAGAATGTTTGCTTTTTCTTTCATTCGGCCAAACAACTGGACAACATTTCATCTTTGGTAAAAATGAGAGAAATACTTTAAAAACAGTAGAATAAAAATATGCTCAAAAACATAAAGAAACTGACATGATTTTTAAAAGTTAACTTCAATTCAAAGTAATGAAGGTGCTTTTTAATGTTTTCCTTTTTATTCCCGCTAAAGGCACCCTTCTCTCTGACACTTCCTGCTCCCATCATATTCCATTTCTAGGATTTTCCCAGCAGTTATGGATATTAAAAACACAGTGAGTACAAAAACCAAATATCACCTGATTTTAGAGCCAAATACCCCAGAAATGAACAAAAATAAATAAATAAATCAAATCCTGCCTTTATTTTATTGGTTTTCAAAGTGAATGAGCAACATTTAATGTTTCTTTGAGCTGCAGAATATTTTTCTTTCCTTTGTGTCTGAGCTAAGTGAATGTTTAGTTTACTGGGACTTTATTTTTCTAAGCTATTGCTCCGAGATGCTTTTCCCACAGTGAGATAAATCTCCATAACAACCTTCATTTTTTCCACATTCATCTGGGGCAGACATTTTGTTCTAACTTCCTCATGTGCAGCATCAACTAATTTCTCTTTCCTTTATGTCCTTCATTTTATTTTTTACAATATTTTCAAAATTTCAGACATCAAAATTAATTAAACTACGAGCTCAGTGGAAAACTAAAATGATAAATGCCCTTTACAGAAACAGTTTCCCTTTGTACCTGAAGGAAACAGGACATCTCTGATCGACACTAAACCAAAGAAAATGAGACAAAACATGCAAAAATTACTCATTTTGTAACTAAAATTAAATTTAATGAAAAAACCCCCCACAAATATCTGACTACTGATCACAGACATTTAGCTAAAATAAAAATGCTGACCTCAGCTAACCCAATTTCAGAGGGTCATTAAATGTTTTAAATAATAACTGACATTCTCCACTACCTACTCTATTTCACATCCAAATGCTTGAAAACAAAACCAGCACGTTGCTTTCACGATGATGCGTCATCTAACTGCACCAGAGACATGAAAACACAAAGCAAAAAAACAGTTTCTGTCTGGAGCTGAATGCTACATGCTTTTCTACAAACATGCTCTCTTTAAACACTTTAATACTAGATTCCTCTCCTTCATGATGTGTTCCTCTCCTTTTTTAGGCTGGAATACAAAAGGTCTTTTAGGGCTGCAGATGTGAATCTTGATACTGTTGAAATGGGCTGTCACCCAGGGTGCTAACTTACTAGGGAAGGCAACAATGCTCATTTGATAAAAATAACACAAAAAGGCAGTTATTCGTAATTTTCATGTCCAGATATCACCTCAGATGCACGGCCCTAAGTGAGCATCGCTGTAATATTGTAAACTCCCAGGATTCATGAGGTCACAGCTGCACTCGAGTAGCTAAAATCTGCGAATACCAGAGAGCCCGTCTAAAAACACTGCTCATTTTAATAGTTCCACCCCCAAATATATCTTGAAATACGTTCATTAGCACAGTGAAACTGTGTTAGCACTAGCTAACATCTACAGCGTTCCTTATCTGTAGGGACAGCCAATCAGGGCTAAGGAAAATAAATGGTGACCCTGGATTGGCTGTTTTCAAGTAGAATTGCATCTAGGTATTCCAACTTCCCAATTTGAAAGAATCTGGGTGAGCAACATGTTTCTCTGTGAGGGCCAGTGGCTGTTGGTCTCAGAAATGGTATCTCAGGGAAATTTCAACATTATTTTGATATAAAAACCATCATTGGTGAAACTCATGATAGAGCCGCCACAGAAAGGAACTTAAAAATGAGGAAACATAATGTTTCTAGTCCGTTTTTCCTCCCAGCTGCTCCTCAACATAAATATGTAGTGTCTTATCTCTCATGTTGTTCATAAATGCTACACTTCAAGAAGATCTTAAACCATAATTATGAGTAGAACCGGTCTTTTGCATGATAAAAAGAGAACTAGAACGACACATCACAAAATCTGGTCGTTGTGTTGTGGGCCTTGATCATGTGTAGCAACAGAGCAGGTGGCTTTTTGAACAAGTATGAGCCGATAACAAAGCCACGTTTAGCGTCTGTTTCAGGGAGAGTGGCTGGAAATGTAAGGCACGGTAAGACTCATCTGGAGCATCTCAACTTCCTTCACACCTCTGTCCGTCCGTCCATCCATCCATCCATCCATCCATCCATCCATCCATCCATCCATCCATCCATCCATCCATCCGCTCAGGGAACGATGGAGGAAAAAAGGGTCAGAAACCCTCACAGTGTTCGGTACACTGCAAAAACAAAATCTTACCAACTAGACCATTTTAATCTAATTTCTTGTGCAGATATCATGGAATACTTGAAATCAGACAAAACGAACTTGAAAGTAACTTTTCAGCAAGATATAGGAGCTTCCATCATATTGATGGAAACAAATAGTTCCACTGGCAGATTATTTCACTTACAGCAAGACATTTTTCCTGTGTTATTAGTGAAATAATCTGCCAGTAGAACTCTTTTTAATTAGTATTAAGGGTTTACTGACTCAAAACAAGCTTCTAGATCTTGCTGAAAAGTTACTTCTCAGTTTTTGACTTATTTCAAGTGTACTAAGATATTTGGACCAGAAACTAGACCAAAAGTCCTTGGTAAGATTTTGTGTTTTTGCAGTGTGAACATCTCCCACCGTCTTCTTCATCATTTAACCAAGTGTAGAAGCCAAGTGTCTCCACATGTGCTTCTCCTGCTGGGTGAGGTTTGGACGGAGGGCCCCTAAAGGCGGGTGAAAGGGCCCACGTGCAGAGGGCCCCTCAGCTTCGGAGAGGAGCAGGAGTTGGATGTGAAGAGAGAAGACGGGGAGGAGGAGTAAGGTGACGACGAAGCGGATGACGATTCGCTGTTGAGCGTGAAGACACTGGAGATCGCCACATCAATGATGCCTTGACATAATTCTGGATAAAGTTTCCTGAATGAGGGAAGTGGAAAACCATTAAATTATGATCTGAAACATAAATAAAACTGTGATTTGTGGAGAGCCATACTGACTGAGCGCAGGCTGGAGCGCCGTTGATCTCGATGAGCCACACTTTGAAGTTTTCGTCGACCATGAAGTCAAAGCCAAAGAGCTGGAAGCTCTGGTAGGACAGGTGCTTGGTGCTGATGGCCGCCTCGATGCACGACAGGCAGCTCCTGAAACGACACCAAAGTTTTCTCAGCGTCCAATAATAACCACATTAAGACATGCTACCATTTCCTGTTGGACAGACAAACCCTTCCTCTCTGAGTTTGCTACTTACCTCAAGCTAGCAGGATGTGTAAAGCTTTAAACTTTAAAATACAAGCTATTATATCCTATCAAGGATGTGCTTCCAACTAATAATTAGTTATTATTCCGCTGTTTAGATAAAGGACTTGATGTTGGTGCCTCTCTTTTTTCTATGTTCTCTTCAAACTAACTAGTCCTAACAACCAACCATCTGTAAACATTAAATTTTTAATAATTTTCCAGTGAGATTCACTGAAATAGTATTTTAAAAAGGCATGTGTTGGTTCACTGTAACATCGGTCGAAACAGTTCTGGTCCTGGGCAGAACCAGAACTTGCTACAGGAACCAGGTGGTTGTTTTAGCCAGGGAGCACACTGGGATGAGCTGGATAATGTCAGAGTTTCCCTCCTGAACAGAAGTCAGAGTGATTCAGAGAGCATTCACACCAGCTCTGCTTAGTTCGCTTTAATCGGATTCCAGTTTGTTTGCCTACAATGGTTCTGTTCGTCTGGGGAGGTGTGAATGTGACATTCACCAAAAAAGCAAACTCTTGTTTGCCTGCAAACGTCGGTCTCAGTTTAGTTGAAGTGAACTCTGGCGGAGTTTGAATGGAGACGATAGGAGACAGTTCCAAAAACAGGAAGCGGACTAAAGCACAGGGCACTTTGGGTAAATACAACCAGAACAAACACGCTGGTATATCACTAGTGGGAGAAATGACTCAGTATTTTACCAAAAACAAAAGAGAAATCCTACAACCGCTAACATCTGACACTACTCCATTTTTGTTTTCATTTTGTGAATCAGGAAGTTGCACTCAGTGTCTTCTTCAGAGATATTTGTGTTGTTTCCTTCACTGGTTCTTGATGCAGCGCCACCACAGGCAGGGAGGGGAACAGGTTTTTCAAAAGGTTTAGATTGTTTGACACAGTACAGTCAGAAAGAGAACCACACCAGCTGAAAATGTAACAAATGTTGCAACTTTGGTCCCAATCAGACCGAAACTACTCTCAGGTTTCCTAACGTTCCATCCTAAACTACAACCTACACTAACTCCCTTCCACTCTACGTCTGCTCCACAGTTTCCACAGTTATGTAATGCTGTAATGAACAGGAATCAACTCACTTGATGACGTGTTTGATCTGAGGTAATATGGTCGTCTCCAGGGTGACGTTGTGAGTGTTGAGCAGGTACAGCCTGAACTCGTCGAAGAACATCTCGTTGCCCTCCTCATAGCGGCCGTAGTTCTGGGAGTGCTCCTTCTGGATGCAGTGATTGGTCAGGTGGCTGGTCATGTCCTGCAGGTCTGCACTGTTGTAGGGCTCCGACGAGGTCCGCAGCACGCCCTCCCGGTACAGGTAGATGTTATACTGATGGTCCACCAGAACCCAGCTCCTGTCAATGACAGAGCAGGTGAGTCAGGCAGCTGAGGCAGATTCTCCAGAGGTGCAGAGTGGCTGAAACACCTGCCTGATGTCAAACTTCCGATGACCCGGCTCCAGCAGCAGGGGTTTCTCCAGGTACTTCTGGATAACATGAACCTGTCCCTGATTGTCAATATAGTCCAGCAGCTGATTGGCATCATGTGAGATCAGGATACCAGCACCTAGCGCAACAGGAAAGGCTAGCTTAGGTTTCTATCAGCAAATCATGAGATCAATACATGCAGGCAAAGTTCTAGGTTCTATCAGCTCAATGGTGGCTATAAATGCGAAAGATCCACTAAAAATGTGTCATTGATGGATGGGTGAATGGAAAGATGAAAGATTGAATGAAAAGATAAATAGATGGATGGATAAAAACACAAACATCTATTTTAGCATTAACTCAAAAGCCATCCATAAAAATAAACCAGCATCTGTGTCAGAAACCAGTCTGTACCTTTAGCTCCAGCAGAAGACTTGGCGATCCACACGGTTCCCTCTCCGCTCTCCTTCTTAGCGTGGTAGGAGGCCAGGAAGACTTCCCGCTCATCCGTCTTCGGGTTGCTCTTCAGGTGGCTGATGCCGTTGGTAGCCGGGGCAACGGGAGTGTTGAGGTTGGTGGGGTAGATGATGTAGGACTCTGGGAACCAGTTGCTGGAGTCTGACAGCTCTGGGCTGGTCTTTATTAGCCTAATGACCCAGAAGGAGAGCGGTCAGCTGATTTTATTCCCTCTGACTGATCAGCTTTCAGACGAGATAACAGAAACAAATGTGTCTGAGGGGAAGATGGAGACTCACTTGACCAGCGACGCCTTCCTGCACAGCTTGTCTGCTCCTCTGTAGTAATTCACCAGCTGCACCAGTCCTGGTTCATGGCCTGAAACGTCAACATGAGGACATTTCAATATGTTCCAGTGGCACCTGAGTCATTCTGAAGTTGAAATCATAAACAGGAAGTTATTTGACAGAAACCTCAAAATCCAATATGGCTGCCCTGTGTTTAAAATCAAGCGTTAGTTTCAGAAATGAACACCTTGTTTTCACTTCACACAAGCTGTGTTTCCGACCAACTGTCATGTGAATTATAATCAAACTCTTGAAGTGTTATAAAATGCAAATTAGGCATTTTTTTTATTATTATTTTTTAATCAGATGTTGATGTTACGTAATGCCGTAATGAAAATTTAGTGACCTGGACCAACCATTTCAGAAGCTGGAGGTAAGGCACAAAGGTTCTAGTTGGGCCATTAGCAACATTACAGCCCATTATTCAGCAAATGTGTTTCTATCTCCCCATTAGTGCATTAACTCTTTTTCAGAGAAGCCAAAAACTACTGCAAGCAAGCCACTGCTTGTTTCAGTTCTAAAAGTGAAACTCATAATATTTAGTTTATTATGCACAGAAAGATAAATAAGCTCTTATGCAATCCGATTCATGTTTTTTCACTCTTCATCCAGTAATCTGGGAATTTTGATTTCCAAATTTCCAATCAAATATAAATTTAAAACTTCCTATGATGTTGCTGGCATCCTCTCTGGTTCATATGTGACAGTCTGTGTGGGATTTCTCTTGAAGCTCCAGCAAGCCACGCTTTTTTTCCTTCCACTCAACTTTTCATTGACACAGTAACTGTCTCCTGGAACTGTCAAGCTAGCACTCTTCCAAATTACTGCACAGAGCATTACATTTCTGAATTTTAAAGAATACATTGGTAATCATTTGTGGGAAACTGACACAAACTTTATCACAATTAACATTAACAAATGCTTGAAATCAATCATTCTGTGTGTAATGAATCTAATTGAGTTACACCATTTGAATTTGAGAACTTTTGGGGTAAACTGCAGAACAAAACGGGTTTTTTTCTACAGGATGAAGACATGAATAAGTCCCCAGCAGTCTGATCCTGAGTGGGTTGACACCAAATATAGTACATCACTCACCAAGGCGTCCAAATGGCAGCCGGTTCCGCTCACCGAGCATGAGGTTGAATCTGGGATTGTCTCTTTTCAGCCTCTTCCAGTGTCCGGTGGACAACAGGATTTTAGACACTTCAGCATAAATAGTGCTGTTATCATCGCGGCTAACAAAGGTGTACATGGGAGAGCTCATCATTCCACGCTGACCACAAACACGTCAAGTAGCCTACAAAGTCTGGGCTAGTGTGAGCCGGTTAGCCGTGGGTGGAGGCTGGATCTGCAGCAGACAGCCTGGTGGGGATTATCACCTCTGTCCGAGCCATGATGGTGCTGATGAGTCGGTCATATTAAGTCCACACTTTTAACTGGGCTCAAACTGGTTTCCAATTGGATATATCCAGCAGCTAGAGGCTAACACATGTTGGCATGAGATATAAAGGGTAGTTACTGCATGTTGCTGAGCTGATACGGTTCTGTTCCTCTTCCCAGACAAGGGTGTGTCTGTGTGACTGGCTCAGCGCTGCTCCGGTTCCTGGGGCTGGTCCCGTCCGGATTCATTCACATCCTGTCTCCACTTTAGCTAAGCAGCTAACGGTCTCCTACCGCTTCAGATGCTAACAGTAAACTCTCCCTCTGCGCGTCGCCAAAAGCTGCAAAAGTAAATATGAACCTCTCAAAATACAAACTGGCTACTGACTTTATGCTCCCATTTCAACAATACACAACATCCCCACCCCTACAGCGTGTGCTTTATTCTTTGGAATCTCAGACATCCGCTATCAACAGTATAAACACAGCAGTCTAACATTCTGGGTAATGTAGTTTCAGACGTCAGGAACACCCAGCGTAGTTTACAGCAAGAGATTTTAATGTAGCATAAAATAAACTCTGAATGAATTTTAAAAATATTTATGAAGAAATAAAGAATTTCATAAATTCAGTCAAAAATGAAGGTCGCGGCGTATATTCTTTTCATAACATGTACTACATTTCCCAGAACACAATGCACTTAAGCGATAAACTAACTTAGGTGTTATGCAGAGAATTGCATGCCCTGTCGCGGGAACGCGTATCGCTCTAAACTCTCGCACAGTGATGAGAAAACGAACTAACTCTTTATTTCTCCAAGTTGCCAGGGAGATTATTTTTTTAGCAAAGCAAATTATTAACCTGACAATATTAGCATGCCTATTTATTTTCCTCCAATATCATCCGATGATATAAAACTCATACCAGAAGTTCGGAGAAAAAGTTGAGATTTCTGTCTTTAATGAAAAATCCTTATTTAAAATAACTAACCAGAGCCTGGTGAGGAGCAAATAAAGCCTGGTGGCCCGCCAGGCTGATAAAACGTTTCTTATACCTATATTTCTAGTTCGAAACAGGAACTCTGTGTCCATATCTCTAGTCTGTCTGGCCTGTAAAATATGTTTTATCTTCGATTGCATCCAAGTCATGTGACCTATTGACTAAAAACCAGAGAGAAATTAGTCTACTAGACTATATAGATGAAGTACAGTGATTTTTATATGAACCCTTTTCATATTTTAGCTAATTTTATATTTTTTTTAAAAAGTTTTTTTCTTCAATAGCGTCCAAACAATGTGACTTATTAATTCAAAATGAATGTGAAATGGTTCTACTACTCTGGACAGATGAGGGACACATATTTGTTTTCCATTTTAGATCTTTTTAAAAATATTTTATAGGTAATTTTATATGTAAAAAGTCATCTTTTCCTTCAGGAGCTTCCTGGTCATGTGACTCATTGACTCATAATCTACTAGACTAGATAGATGAGGCACATTCATTTTTTCTATTTTAATCCTTTTTATATTTTTTAGCAATTTTTTTAGTAAAAAGTATTATTTTTATTTAATAGCTTCCAAGTCATGTTTCTATTAAGTCAAAATCAGTGTAAAATAAAATTCTTCTGCCAGACAATTTTAATTAGGCACACTCATTTTTATTCCATTTTAGGTCTTTTTATATTTTTTTAGAAATGTATTTTACTATTCGGCTTGCTATACTTGTATACACTTTTCTGAACATTTAATAAATAATGATAGAAACTTTTTTTTATATTTTAGGAATGTAACAATGTTCTTAGGAATAAGTAAGAGAAAAATTGAAAAGCAGTCTCAATCATTCATTCATTTGTATATTATCTAATCCTCATTGAACTAATTGAAGTGTACAGTTTTCAATAAAATACAATGCAACAGTTTAAACAAAGTTTGTGTAAAAATACTAAAGATCTTACTTCAGATAATGTGTTAATATTTTTTCTTGGGTTTTAATGTTTGGTTACATATTTTGTTTAGGTATTCATTTCATATCTGATGCCTTTCAAAAGAGCCTTGTGCCACTAATGATTCACAGGAAAGCAACAGCTTGACTAAAAAGCTCAATATTGCACAGCTTCTGTTGGGGTCATCAACGTTGCCACTCACAACATGGCGGTGAGTCTTCTGTGGTTATCACGTTAAGGCCACAAGATGGCGACCTAAACCTTTGTTCAAACTGGAACGTTGTTATTCACAACTTGAAAGGATATTACAAAGTTTTAAGAGAAATATGTTCTCTATATACTATATGTTGAAGAAAATTCTCTATACTAAACAATAAACATAATTTAGAGGATATTTGTTGAATTCTAAATGTATCTGAACGACAAATTGTAACAGGTTTTGGGCCTCGTTCCATTCTCGTTGGGAAAACTTTTTAAATTGAGTTATCTCTACTTTTTTTTAAAAACAAAAAAAAATGTTTGACGGTACAATAAAATACAGAGAACGTATTATATTTTTCGCTGATTATCCGAAATTCATTAAAAAGTGACGATGAAAGTTCTCATTGTAGAACTCCGACTCCTCAGAGAGAATTGGGACCAGACAGGAAGTGGTGTCACGGAAGAGGAAGCCAAGTGGCGGGAATCAAGAGTAAAATTATGGCGCTTTAAAGTAGAACAGTGATCGTAACAATTAGCGTGATAAATTTCGCTGCTTCTTTAGCAACTTTAACCTAGTCAGAGCTAACAGGAAGGCAGTCCCGACTGTAAGTGATTCCGGTTATTCTCAGCGCTGTGACGTGTTTTGGGGTGTTAACTGTAAAAAGTCCACGTCTGGAGGACATGAAATTATGGAAGTTAGTAAATATCTGTTTAGCATAACTTCCACATTTTGTCACTTCACAACAGCAAACTCTATCGTATATTATTGGGACTCCATGAAAGTACACAAAGTTCTGCATGTAAGCTTGGAAATATGGATGTCTGCCCGTGGCAAACAACCTGTTTGTTTATGTTTGAATGTCTGTTTAAGTTGCCCCATTTTCCAGTTACTGCTCCCAAAGTTCACGATATTCCCACAATTAATTACTATGGAAGTTTCCGACATGGAATATTTTCTTAAATCCTCAGGCTGAACTTCCCTTGAAAAGTTTTCAGAAGTTTCCTGGAAATAAGATGTCTCCATTGTGTTACTTTCTTTCCTCCCTTGTTCTATTTGTTGACTTCTCTAACAAACATCTGAACTGGATTTATTTGGAGATTGATAACTTTACACACATCTGGACTCTATTTACTCATTTATGAACATTCCTGTTGCGATAGATTTTATTTAAGAATATCAGAGTATAGGAGGATAAATACAAATGCAGGTGACATCACATGTATCAATATGTGCTGCTTTGTGTTCTGCTACATTAAAATACCAACAAAGTTTGGAAAGTGAGAGAATATACAAAAGTTCAAGAGGTATGAATACGTTCAGAAGCTGCTGTAAATGTATTTGAAATTGTGATTTTGTTCTTGCTGGTTATTGCTATTCCAAGGGCTTAGAATATAAGACATATCATTTTTTATATGTACAATTTTACGCAATATTTGTAGTGTTTGTATTGCAAACACTGCAAATAATAGAATGAAGGTATATTTCAATAGTTTCAGCAGCTGAAATCAGATATTTACATACACTGTACAAAAACGCAACAAACATTTCCTCCTTGTCTGATAAGTAAGATTAAAGTTTCCCCTTTTTTTTGGTCAGTTAGGTTGTTAAATACTGAAATTATTTGGTTTTGTTGAATGTCAGAATAACAGATAAATTAAAAAAAATTACATTTAGTTCAAATTTAAAAGTTTACCTTCATTTTTTGGTTGCTTTCGACAATCAATTATTCTGGATTATTCCGTTTAATTGTTTCAGCCATGCAGTCACCTGGCTTTTTATGCTGCTTTAGGAATAATGGCTTCCTCTTTTCTGAGCAGCTTTTCAGCCCACGACTCGTTCAATGTAAATAAAGTCAGTTTGTGACTTCATCCAGCATCTCGTCAAAGTCTTTTGGTTTTGGTCAGCACACTTTGCAACAAACCATGAAACCATCCGTTTCCTCCTGGCATCTGGAAGTCCTGGAAATATTACATGGATTTTGTATTTATTAAATAGAAATAATTCGACTGACCCTAAAAGTGTCCTCATTAAGAAATGTGATTTAGTGTGAGTGCTCTCGACACCCAGTAACTGTGACTCTGAACATCAGTTAGCACATTTAGCAGCAACTACATGAGGTTGATGGACAGCGCTAAGATCCTCCTCCTGTTTCTGATTGATTGTTTTTGTTCAGATAATCTTTTCACTAATCTGTCTCATAACAAACTGTCATCACATGGTTACAGTTTTAACATTCTTTATGAAAGTTACATAATGCAGTCCAGTCTGTCTGTCTTTCTGTCGTATTTTTGCTCATGTTTTTTCTTCTATATTTTGGGGTTTAATGAGTGAAAAAAATAAACAAATTCCTTGGGAACATTTTCAAAGTAGCACCACAAAATCAGTGATTTTTTTCTTCAGAAACCGTGTGAAACCCTTTAGGGACTGAAATGTGTATTTTCCTCTGAATTCTGCTTACTTGTTTTTTATTTTTCATCACAAACCGTGAAGAAGAGCATTTTTGTCCTTCTGCGTCAGTTGTGGAGCGGGCCTTGGCGTTGACAGAGGTCATGTATTTTTCATAACGTTTGTCCCCTCTCCTCCATCAGGCTGGAGCAGACCAGGCATGAGTGGCGCACACCTGGAGGAATGGCAGCACAGGTCCTTTGACATTTCATCTGGCAGCTGCACACCTGAACAGAAGGCCGACGCCTACCGGGCCCACATCCTCTCCATTCAGTATGCATGGGCAAGCTCCCAGCTTTCTCAGGCCGGCGCGGCCGGTCTGCTCAGGACCTACTCGGAGCGCTACGCCGCCGTGCTGGACTCGGATGACCCCCAAACGGGGCTCAACAACTATGCAGAGAGCGCGCTCCATCTGGCCCGCAGTCAGAGGAACCTCAGCGACAAATGGGAGTCACCGCTAACGGCGGACAGCGTGCTGCAGATTCCCTCGGTGCAGAGGATGATTCAGGCGAGTTCAGGAAGAGAAAGTTTCCGGGTGGCACCAGCAGATGTTGACATACCTGTGGGACACGAGAGCAGAGGGGACCCCGGCTCAGCGCAGGTTCAGTTTACTGCCAGTCGAGCACCATCCAGCTCGGAGGTTAACAACGTTACCAGGAATCTAACAGAGAGACTGAGAACTTCAGATGGGATCTCAGTTAATCCAAGCGTTGTCCCTCAACCCGCAGTACGACCTCAGTCAGCGTTTGGTCATTCTTCTTCATGTGGTCCTTCAGGAGGTGCACAAACCCATCAGTCCTCTTTCTTTCCCTCTTCAAACCCGTCCAAACGGAAGAACTTTTACAGTCCAGACAGAAGCGTTGGCGTTAGCGGGCAACATGGAGGTCCAG